GATAGGGTGATCAAGAGAAGAGAGGGCGATCAAGAGGAGAGAGAGAAGGCGATCAAGAGGAGAGAGAGAGGGCGATCAAGAGAAGAGAGAGACGGCGATCAAGAGAAGAGAGAGAGGGTGATAGAAGAGTGAGAGGGTGATAGAAGAGAGAGAGGGCGATCAAGAGAAGAGAGAGAGGGCGATCAAGAGAAGAGAGAGAGAGGGCAATCAAGAGGAGAGAGTGATCAAGAGGAGAGAGAGTGAGCGATCAAGAGGAGAGAGAGAGGGCGATCAAGAGGAGAGAGAGAGGGCGATCAAGAGGAGAGAGAGAGGGCGATCAAGAGGAGAGAGAGAGGGTGATAGAAGAGAGAGAGGGCGATCAAGAGGAGAGAGGGCGATCAAGAGAAGAGAGAGAGGGTGAGCAAGAGAAGAGAGAGAGGGCGATCAAGAGAAGACAGAGGGCGATCAAGAGAAGAGAGAGGGTGATAGAAGAGTGAGAGGGTGATCAAGAGAAGAGAGAGAGGGCGATCAAGAAAAGAGAGAGAGAGGGCGATCAAGAGGAGAGAGAGAGGGCGATCAAGAGAAGAGAGAGGGCGATCAAGAGAAGAGAGAGAGGGTGATAGAAGAGTGAGAGGGTGATCAAGAGAAGAGAGAGAGGGCGATCAAGAGAAGAGAGAGAGAGGGCGATCAAGAGGAGAGAGAGAGGGCGATCAAGAGAAGAGAGAGGGCGATCAAGAGAAGAGAGAGAGGGTGAGCAAGAGAAGAGCAAGAGAAGAGAGAGAGAAGAGAGAGAGGGCGATCAAGAGAAGAGAGAGAGGGTGAGCAAGAGAAGAGAGAGAGAAGAGAGAGAGGGCGATCAAGAGAAGAGAGAGGGCGATAGAAGATTGAGAGGGTGATCAAGAGAAGAGAGAGGGCGATCAAGAGAAGAGAGAGAGTAATGTAACCTCCTAATGTAATGTATAACTCCTATGAAAATGTTCAAAAAGTGCTCAAACTTCACATGTGTGCTAACAGTCCAGCCGTGAAGACATCTACGGGACAATTTTGAGATTTCTTCAAATGCCGTTGCCATGGCAACACAATGCTCACCATGAAACACGGTTTTCTCATAATTTCAGTGAAAATGCTCGAAATGGCCCAAAACTTCACAGGTTTGGTAACGATGCAGCCATCAACACATCTAAGCGTATTATGGGGTGTCATCAAATGCCGTTGCCATGGCGACAGATAATTAACCATCAAGTTAGTTCAAAAGTTTGTAGTTCAAATATTCTGCTGCTTTCCCAAGCCTTTTTACTTTCTTTTCTCATCTTAATACAAATTCATTCACTACTACTTACATCTGATATTTAACTCCTTCAGCCTATTTTCAGCTGCAGAAACCATTCAACTATTACATTATTCAGCTATTTCAGGACATCAAGGCTATACATGTTTTTTTAAACCTTTTCTTTTAAATATTAAGCTTTTACTGCATTTTTGTAGCTAAAAGCAGCTACCATTCAGCTAATAACATATTCAGCTTTTTCTGCATTTTCAGCTAAATTCAGCCACAAATGTTCACAGTTTACAGCATTCGCACGCATTTTCTGCAGGAAATGCATTTTCTAGTTATTATTATTATTTCAGCCAATACTTTGGCACTCCATAACTTCAGCTTATTTTCAGCTACAGAAACCATTCAAATATTAAACTATTCAGCCTGTTCAGGAATCGATGGGAAACCTTCACATTTTTAAAAATATTTTATACTTTTTGAAATATTCAGCTTTTTAAACTCTTTTTTTAACATGGAAGTAAATGGGAGATGCCTTCAAATCCTCTTTTCCTAAACTTTGCGCCAAATGCTACTCCTTCCACATACTTTCAGCTAGACACTTCATTCCAACTTTCAAATGATCACAAGACCTTCAGCTATTCAAAATTGATTTTTATTTTTGATATCTTTTACACTTTTTGAGATATTTAACTTAGTTTGGAGCTTGGTAGAGAGGCCTTTTTCAGATTTTAACATTAGTGTGGATGGAGCAGCTCGTTAAGTCTAGAGTGCTTTGATCTCAAAACAGAGTGGAGGGGTGCTTCAAATTCTCCTCAAATTTTTTTTTAAACTTGCCATAATTCCCAAACCCTACACTCCTCAGACATATTTTTTCATGAAAAACGTAGGAAAACCTCTCCTAGGTTGGAAAATGAAAAAAGATTAAGAAGAAATATTAAACAAAATGCCTCTTGAAGGCATGAAGAGACAAAAAGTTCAGCTAGCTCCCAATTGATTCCCATGTTAAATCTTTCCGGAACTTTCTTCAGAACAGAGAGAAGTACACTTTAGACCAGGGGTCGGCAACCCCTGGCACGCGTGCCACCAATGGCACGCGGCACCGTAACCAGTGGCACACTAGGAATAAGTGGAATAAGTGTACAAAATATTTATTTTATTTTCGGATCCTGAACGAGACCGCCGCCAGAGCGCGTCTCCCCGTTACCTGCAGAAGGAAGCCATGCACGCAATGCAGCCACACTGTCTTTAACTCCAGGCGACTTTCTTCCGCTTTCCTCCGTAATGCAGGGCTGATCGTTTCACCACAGAGGAAAGCACTTCACAAATTGCATTATCCATAAGGAGCTGTACAAATGCCCCAGTTTTTGCGTGGCAATCGATATCGGCCGATACTCACTCTCTGCCGATCGATCGGTGCTCTCTAAAAAGGCAGATCGCGAGGCGTAACATACATGACACTTTTCTCTGTGTGCAGCAAAACAAGCTCGCAAAAAAATGGCTTCACCAGTCTGGCAGTATTTTAAGGTGTCCGAAAATGACAATAACATAGCGGTGCAACGTGTGTGAAGCAGAAATCCTGCAGCTCCACCCGCTGTGAGGGACCGGTGAGCGGAGCAGAACACACAAGAGTTAGACCTAACACACTTAGCTATTTTATCTACCTTTGGAACTAGTTATACATATATTTATTCTTCACTGTCACTCATTACTGGATCAGTGAGCTGCATGAGATACTGACAAGCTGTCAGGAGAGAGAGAGAGGGGGAGAGAGGAAAAGAGAGCGCTTCTGCTCATTTCTCCCATGTTATTATCCAAAGTTAATGTAAACTTGAATAATGTAGGCTACTTCATTTGAATGTAACAATTATGTTGGTTGTTGTTTGTGGAAGCGCCAGTGAATGAGCATTAACTGAGTTTTAAACATCACTTTTCACGAGTGTTTTCGTCCCGTTGATAATTCACGATCGTCGGCACGCTGATAAAACATTTTTTTTAGAATGGCACTTCATATCAGAAAGGTTGCCGACCCCTGCTTTAGACAAATTGCTCCCATCTCCACATTTTACACACAAAACCAAAGAAAACAACATATATCAGTTCATTGGGGTTCCCTGATGCTCACGGTCTGGTCATTTTTTGATAGGAGCCATAGTTTTTGAACAGGTGAGGGCAAGGAGAGGGCGATCAAGAGGAGAGAGTGATCAAGAGGAGAGAGAGTGGGCGATCAAGAGGAGAGAGAGAGGGCGATCAAGAGGAGAGAGAGAGGGCGATCAAGAGGAGAGAGAGAGGGCGATCAAGAGGAGAGAGAGAGGGCGATCAAGAGAAGAGAGAGAGGGTGATAGAAGACTGAGAGGGTGATAGAAGAGAGAGAGGGCGATCAAGAGGAGAGAGGGCGATCAAGAGAAGAGAGAGAGGGTGATAGAAGAGTGAGAGGGTGATCAAGAGAAGAGAGAGAGGGCGATCAAGAGAAGAGAGAGAGAGGGCGATCAAGAGAAGAGAGAGGGCGATCAAGAGAAGAGAGAGAGAGTGAGCAAGAGAAGAGAGAGAGAAGAGAGAGAGGCCGATCAAGAGAAGAGAGAGAGGGCGATCAAGAGAAGAGAGAGGGCGATCAAGAGAAGAGAGAGAGGGCGAGCAAGAGAAGAGAGAGAGAGGGCAATCAAGAGAAGAGAGAGAGGGCGATAGAAGATTGAGAGGGTGATCAAGAGAAGAGAGAGGGCGATCAAGAGAAGAGAGAGAGTAATGTAACCTCCTAATGTAATGTATAACTCCTATGAAAATGTTCAAAAAGTGCTCAAACTTCACATGTGTGCTAACAGTCCAGCCGTGAACACATCTACGGGACAGTTTTGAGATTTCTTAAAATGCCGTTGCCATGGCAACACAATGCTCACCATGAAACACGGTTTTCTCATAATTTCAGTGAAAATGCTCGAAATGGCCCAAAATTCACAGGTTTGGTAACGATGCAGCCATCAACACATCTAAGCGTATTATGGGGTGTCATCAAATGCCGTTGCCATGGCGACAGATAATTCACCATCAAGTTAGTTCAAAAGTTTGTAGTTCAAATATTCTGCTGCTTTCCCAAGCCTTTTTACTTTCTTTTCTCATCTTAATACAAATTCATTCACTACTACTTACATCTGATATTTAACTCCTTCAGCCTATTTTCAGCTGCAGAAACCATTCAACTATTACATTATTCAGCTATTTCAGGACATCAAGGCTATACATGTTTTTTTAAACCTTTTCTTTTAAATATTAAGCTTTTTCTGCATTTTTGTAGCTAAAAGCAGCTACCATTCAGCTAATAACATATTCAGCTTTTTCTGCATTTTCAGCTAAATTCAGCCACAAATGTTCACAGTTTACAGCATTCGCACGCATTTTCTGCAGGAAATGCATTTTCTAGTTATGTGTTATAGTTTGGATTCCTAAAGCTTTTAGTCTACTAACCCATCATTCAAGGGTGGGTTTCACTATAAGTAATGTTTTTTTTGGACGGACACTATCATTTACAGTTTTTTGCTATGTTCAATCTGAATTTACTTTAAAATATAAAAAATCTATATTGATTCTGACTTTTCTACATCCAACTCACAGGTTTATCATTGCTTTGAGAAAAAAGATTATTAATTTAACTCTTTTAGAAGTTAAGATATAGTCATTTGTTCTTAACAGGTTAAATGGAAAAACATCTGCTCAAAAACAAATACGTTTTTTTTCTTATTTCTCTTATTAGTTATGATTTGGTTGGAAATCCGATAATCCAGTGTGGCCACGAGGGCTGGATGGGCCGGCTGCCTGTGTGTGAAGGTGAGTCTGTGTGTTCATACATGTCTAATAAACTACCAGAGGGGGAAGTACAAATGCTTTGTTACTGTACTTAAGTACATTTTTCTGGTATCAGTACTTTACTCCACTACTTATTTTTCTGACGACTTTTTACTTTGACTTCTTACATTTTGAACACAAATACCTGTACTTTCTACTTCTTACATGTTGAACCCAAATACCTGTACTTTCTACTTCTTACATGTTGAACCCAAATACCTGTACTTTCTACTTCTTACATGTTGAACACAAATACCTGTACTTTCTACTTCTTACATGTTGAACCCAAATACCTGTACTTTCTACTTCTTACATGTTGAACCCAAATACCTGTACTTTCTACTTCTTACGGCCTCCTTCCTCCTGCTCCTGACCTCTGTTGGCCTTTTCCTTTCAGCTCAAGGTCAGTGGTTATAATCTCGCTGCAGATATGACATTAGTCCTGTTTTGATTCTACATTACACATCAACTTCTGGACGTTCCCTCCCCAGCTCAGGACTGCTCCAGACCTGTGGGAGGAGCCAACATGGATCTGAAGGGCGACGACATACTTTTACAAACTTTCCCCGACGGGATAAAAGTTACGTTTGCTTGTGATGTTGGCTACGAGTCTGTTGGAGGATCTGCATCCATCACCTGTACTGCTGGAGCCTGGAGCCCTTTGAGGATGACATGTGAAAGTGAGTATTAGTATTTTATTTACACGTAGCGGTACAATACCTTTACTCGTCCCACAGAGGAGGACATTTACATTTGTTACAGCAGAAAGAGCCAAAGACAGCTTAGTAGTTCTTAAGAAGCATGCATACAAATATTAAGAGATTAAACTACAAATTACACAATTCACAAAATACATATCCAGTACCAGTTAGCGATATACAGAGGTGTAAAGTAACTAAGTACATTTACTCAAGTACCATTTTGAGGTACTTGTACTTTATCTGAGTATTTAAATGTTATGTTAATGTGTACTTCTACTCCACTACAGTTCAGAGGTACATGGTGTACTTTTCCTCCACTACATGTATTTAATACCTTGAGTTACTTCACAGATGTGGATGAATGATGTGAAATATAATCAAGTGTTAAATCAGTCTTTAGTTCCACCTGGAGTAAATCCACAAGCTACCCTGCAGTATACAAAGTCATTCAAACTAGCTGCACCTTTACCAGCTTTGAGAACACTTTCATGATCAATCATTATAAAACATATCATATATATTATTCTGAAATGGACCAATCTGCACAATGACTACTTTTACTGTCGCTACTTTCACTATATTTTGATGAGAATACTTTTCTACTTTCACTTGAGGAACATTTTGAATGCAGTATTTTTACTATAACAGAGTATTCTTACACTCTGGTACTTCTACTTTTACTCAAGTACAAGATCCGAGTACTTCTACTTTTACTCAAGAACAAGATCTGAGTACTTCTACTTTTACTCAAGAACACGATCTGAGTACTTCTACTTTTACTTGAGGAACATTTTGAATGCAGGACTTTTACTGTAACAGAGTATTCCTACACTCTGGTACTTCTACTTTTACTCAAGTACAAGATCTGAGTAATTCTACTTTCACTCAAGAACAAGACCTGAGTACTTCTACTTTTACTCAAGTACAAGATCTGAGTAATTCTACTTTCACTCAAGAACAAGACCTGAGTACTTCTACTTTTACTCAAGTACAAGATCTGAGTACTTCTACTTTTACTCAGGTACAAGATCTGAGTACTTCTACTTTTACTCAAGTACAAGATCTGAGTACTTCTACTTTTACTCAAGTATAAGATCTGAGTACTTCTACTTTTACTCAAGTACAAGATCTGAGTACTTCTACTTTTACTCAAGAACAAGATCTGAGTACTTCTACTTTTACTCAAGAACAAGACCTGAGTACTTCTACTTTTACTTGAGTAACATTCTGAATGCAGGACTTTTACTGTAAGAGTATTCCTACACTCTGAAACACAGATATCCAGAAATGTTTAAGGGATGAATTTAATCCTAAGGGGTTTTTCTGTTGTTGTTTTTTAAGGGAAGTCCTGTGGCGCTATTGGAGACGTGCCAAATGGACAAGTGGATTATTCTGAGGGGATTCAGTTTGGAGACAAACTGGAAGTCACCTGCAACCCTGGGTGAGTCTTTCGGGGGCCAGCGATTTTCAGTGGGGGGCGAACGCACTAACCACTCCGCCAACGCCACAGTCACCCCCGCCGTGCGGGCCGGATGAGAATGTCTGGCGGGCCGGATGTGGCCCGCGGGCCACCAGTTGATGGTCACTGATCTATAGCATACAGAATAAATTGGAATATAATAGACCAACTTACTACTTAACAAATATAAACATAGGATGATTAGATGTTGAGAAGCGATGCACAAGTTAAAATGTCATTCAAATACAAAAATTTGATGTATTTGTTTTGATCCCTAATATGACAATTGTGTTGTTCCAGCAGCGAGTTTACAAGGCATTGCACATGAGTCAAAACTATAATAAAATACAAAATAAAATACCAAAGAAAAGGACAAATAGACACTAAATATATACATATGAACAGCAGAGTATGTAAGGAACGCACAGAATAAAATATAGAGAATAACTTACTACCAACCTACTATTTCAATAAAAAATATATAAATAAACACAGGATACTTTACACATAGTGCTGGGGGCATACCGCTTCATACCGAACTTTATACCGAACTTTATACCGAACTTCATACCGAATGATATCCTTAGGCGCTTTCACACCGGAGTACTTTTCCCAGTATTGTTCCGAAATGTCGCGTTCACACCAAAAACATCCGGAACTAGAACTTAGTTCATGAGAACCTTTCCACCCCCTTTTCAGTCCCTGCTAGAGAGCAGGTACTTTCGTGGGAGAAAAAGGTTCCCATTTCTGATTGGCTGGGCAGATTGCAAACCACGCACCGTAAAACTCCCAAAAAGTTTTGTGAAGCCGCCATTTTATTTGCTCGCATTAGCATTATTAGCATTAGCATTAGCCCAGCGCACAAACGCAGAGAGACTAACTTATGGCAACACAAAATAAAACTCCTTTCACTGTCGCACCGCTGAAATGTGAAGCTGCAGATGCACACTGAATATTTTACATTTGATTCCAAATCCATTTCAATGTAAATACTGCTATATTTTTTTATGTTATTATAGTTTTCGTAAAATAGTTCTCTATCTGTGTTTTAAAAACAGTTTTTACTTTGATGTATGCACCACGACATCAAGTCAAATTCCTCGTACGTGTCAACCTACCTGGAGATAAACCTGATTCTGATTCTGAAGAACTGGAGATAGAGGGCTGCTGCTGTAGTTGTTGTTGTTGTTGTGTTGTATGCAAAATTAGCATGTTGCAGCTGTTTCATCCACTGATCAGGGGTTTCTTTGTGGGGACTATTCGGACTATTATGGCTTGCAAAATGTCTGAAACGCTCTTATTTCAAGTTTTAGATTTAGCTTGAGGTTGTTTTAGGCATGTGGAAACTAACAATGAAGACAATAAAGATGAATACTTGATTCAAAAATACAAATATTATTAAATTAACTAAACAAATTGTGAACAAAATTAACAAATTGTGAACAAAATTAACAAATTGTGAACAAAATTAACATTGCTTTTTATTTAAATTAAATAAATAATATTTCACATCAAAAGAAACAACAATGTTTTAACAAATGGTATTAAATAATGTGATGACAGAACTGTGAACAGAATAGCTGAAACTTTAACTAAATCAATAACTCAGTTACCTCTAATCATTAACTAGGGATGCCAGAAACTGACCATGACCAAAATCGAAGATCGGACAGCCCTGGCGAATATTAATCGATTAATCGCCACCCCCCCTCCCCCTCCCCCCTCCCGGGAGGAGGAAAAAAAAAACACTGACAAATGGTATTCCGTTGTTTTCTTTTACTGGAACGTGTACATGGTACAAAAGGGCTCTTCAGGTAGAACAGTATTAATAATAGCATCATTGAAATAAATTAAATAAATAGCCTACTTTATGTGTATGTATGTATGGGTGTAGGCGAGAGCGCAGCCGGTTAAGGATTAGTCCTGCCGCCGAAAAAACCCTTTCCGAGGGCACAGAGCACTGCGGAGCCCCTCAGCTAAATTAACCGCACTCTTCATCTCCCATTCACTATCGATATAATGGCAGGTTATGGTAAGATAGGATTTAGTTGTAAGTGCCGTCCACCCGTCGGTGGTTATCGACACCTTTGAGACAGTTGATAAGAGTACGGCCCGGGACCCTGTAATCTGGTTCCACGCTTGCCATAAACTCAAGGAAACCGCCTCCTTCCACGACGGAGGGGGCGGGGCGGGGTCGGTGTGTCAGGCTGCAGCAGCAGTCTGCACTCTGCGCTGCTGGCTTCCTCCAAGTTTACAGTAAAACAAACTGGTGGTGTGATCAATGGTCATTTACAATTATTAATACTATTACTATTATTAGCATTAGTCTATATTTTGGTTGAAACCAAACCAGGAAAAAAAAGAAAAACATAAATATTAATAAAAAAATATATTAATAAAATCGATTTTTAAAAATAATATTCGATTATGGAGACTGTAACGAATAATCGAATAATCGAATAATCGCTGGCATCCCTATCATTAACCCATGTTTGTATCATTGTGTTAACTCTGTGTGTTGCTAACGTGGAAACGTTACTCGTGGACGGGGCTACAGAGCTGCTAGAGAGACAGTCGAACCCGGTGCATTCCTCCGTCTGAACGTGGTGCACTTTTGCTAAATGTTTAGACAGATTGCTCGTGTTACCGCCCTGACATGCTGAACTCTTATTACACTTTTGGTAACGAGCATTGTCCACATCGAGACGGGTAACATTTAACCACACCTCGGAGCGCGTTCTCTCCGCCATCCCCGCAGTGTGTTGCATGCATCATGTAGCAGTTTGTTGCATGCATCATGTAGCAGTGTGTTGCATGCATCATGTAGCAGTGTGTTGCATGCATCATGTAGCAGTGTGTTGCATGCATCATGTAGCAGTGTGTTGCATGCATCATGTAGCAGTGTGTTGCATGCATCATGTAGCAGTGTGTTGCATGCATCATGTAGCAGTGTGTTGCATGCATCATGTAGCAGTGTGTTGCATGCATCATGTAGCAGTGTGTTGCATGCATCATGTAGCAGTGTGTGCATGCATCATGTAGCAGTGTGTTGCATGCATCATGTAGCAGTGTGTTGCATGCATCATGTAGCAGTGTGTGCATGCATCATGTAGCAGTGTGTTGCATGCATCATGTAGCAGAGTGTGTAAACCGCCCCCTCGCACACAGACGGAGAGAGACATCTCGTCTGGATTGGAAAGATCGAAAATACATCATAGACGCATTTTTGTGTCTTTTTGCATATTAGAAACGAGTTGGCGACACTAAGACTGCGATATAATGTTTATGTAGCAATAATACATATGACATATATGTTTTATATGTCTTCAGGCAGTACCGATAAAAAGACCGATAACGTTGGAGTTTAACGGCGCATAAAACACACGTGATGACGTCACCAACGAATCGACGACTGAATTAGTTAGCAACTAATTTGGTCATGGATTTTAATGGATTAAGTCGATTAGTTGTTGCACCCCTAAACCAGGTAGAGGTTAAGCACAATATGCTCTCTGAATGTTCAGGGTTGTTAACCTGTTAGGCGGGGGCTATGGGGATTTTTCTTTTTTTCACAAAACTGTGACTCAGGGAAAAACCTATTAATGTTTCATACCCACCTAACGGGAAGAAACTCAGCTATCTGACGATACGAACCATTTGTACCGAAACAAAACACAAGTCTCACAAGAAGCGTCTAAATGAGCCCTGAGCGAAAAGATTCTAACACTTTAAATACACAGAACTCACGATAAAATACCCTTATTACTTATCGGATCTGCACAAACAAGATATCGATTAGCAAGCTGAGATTCCACAGAAATATAAGTATCATCACTGAGCGATCAAAACTCGCGACAGGGGAAGCGAACACAGACATCACACAACGTAGCTTTAGGGAGGAAACACGGCCAAATTGTCTGACCTTTTGCTGTTTCTGATCAAAAGTTGTGTTCAATGGCATCAAAACGATAAACACGCTGCTGAAGGTTAATCCAATGTGTCTGTGTCACTTTGAAATGATTTCTGATAATCCATCTTCATACTAGTTTGAGCCTAGGTTTCAGTTTTCAGTTTTCAGAGCCTAACATAGCTTTCGACTGCGTGCGCATAGCTCTCACTTCTCAATGGTAACGTGTGTGTGTATGTGGAACTTCCCCTTCGATTCTATTGGCTCTAACGGTTCAAAAAATATGTCAATCACCAAAATCGACCAATGGGTTCCAGAGAAACGGCAAATACACCAAAATCCACCCAAGTGACCCCATACGGGGTTTTTTTCTCCTAAACCTCTCTAAAAAGGTCAAATGCCACTTGTTTTGCATCAATCTTGATACAGGGTACTTATTAGTGCGAATGCTGTTTACAGCATTCCACTATAGTTCTTCGAATCTTTATTCTTCCCCTTATTAGTGCGAATGCTGTGCCACAGCATTCCACTATAGTACTTCAAATCTTTATTCTTTCCGCTTATTATTATTTCAGCCAATACTTTGGCTCTCCATAACTTCAGCTTACTTTCAGCTACAGCAACCATTCAAATATCAAACTATTCAGCCTGTTCAGGAATCGATGGGAAACCTTCACATTTTTAAAAATATTTTATACTTTTTGAAATATTCAGCTTTTTAAACACTTTTTTTTAACATTGAAGTCAATGGGAGATGCCTTCAAATCCTGTTTTCCTACACTTTGCGCCAAATGCTACTCCTTCCACATACTTTCAGCTAGACACTTCATTCCAACTTTCAAATGATCACAACACCTTCAGCTATTCAAAATTGACTTTTATTTTTGATATCTTTTACACTTCTTGAGATATTTAACTTAGTTTGGAGCTTGGTAAAGAGGCTTTCTTCAGATTTTAACATTAGTGTGGATGGAGCAGCTCGTTAAGTCTAGAGTGCTTTGATCTCAAAACAGAGTGCAGCAGTGCTCCCCCAAAAATGTTTTAAACTTGCCATAATTCCCAAACCCTACACTCC